GGACCTGAACAAGTCCCACTCCTTCCTTAATACACCTCACCCCTTCTCCTGGGCATCACTTGAGCCCTTTGGACTTCCACATTTCAGTCTGTGAGTTGACACCTGGGGTGAATTTTAACCTTTATATGGCTTCTCAAGCATCTCTTCTCTGTTCACTGGTTACAGAGGCGTATTCACCAACGGGAGGTGGATTAATGTCCCCACTAATCTGTCTGGTTGGCAGGAGAACAGATCTGACAAGGTGACATGGTTCTTTACCAAGTCTCTCACAGCATGTGGCAGAGCTAGCTGTCCTTCACCTTACCCAGCCATAAAAAGGGGTTTCTGCATACAGTTAATAGCAGTATTGCTGATAAGCCCTTAATGGGCCTGATCCTGAAAGCTTAACAAGCACTTCTGAGTATTTTAATCGAAGGAATAATTTCAGGATGAATCATAAACGCAAAGTACCACCTTGCACCAGAAACAAAGGTGGCATCTCAAATGAACCAAGCAACGAAGGCAAAGCACACCCTTCCGTATTACTGCTTCCAGAAAAGTGGGAGAAGGGAAACTACTGCAAATGGAATGATGATGTCGTGATTTTTCATTACTTCAGGCGTGATTATTTGCTGCAATTTAGCACCTGAAGGGTAGCAGAACGCTCTTACTCTGAAGCTTTCCGACAAGCCAAGGCAGGATGCTGCCACCTTACCTTGCTCCAACCTCTTCATCTGCTGGATCTGATCAACTGTCTTTTTTAGGATCTTGCATTTGTCAGGTTTGACACTCAGAGTGTCGATGTCCCCGATGTTTGCAGACAGCAGCTCCGCCAGCTCCTCTAAATATTTGTTCTCCTGTTCCCGTCGCCGCTTTTCATTGCTGGTAGAGAAAGAAAAAAATAATAATTAAAAGTCATGTTAATGATTTTTTCCTGCTGCTCAGTCTAGTCACAACTGGGCACTGGACAAGAACCCAAAAATAAAAGTACTGGGTGGAGTGATGACCGTGCTATAATCTGAGTATCTCCAAAATACTGGGGAGTTCGTTCAGGCTTTTGTATGTTTTTATGCATATAATCAAAATTAACGCCAAGGGAGACACAAAGGGCTAGCCAGACACCCCCAACAAAGCCAGACCCCTAACATTCAGGACTCTGCCTTCCTCTCAAAAATAGTTATAAATGAATTCTAACAAAAATAGTTATATACAGCCTCTTATTTTTCCACAGCCACTATTACAGCTGTTGCCAAGTTTAATCCTAAATTCACACATAAAGGTTAACAACATCCACCAGAGTTCACCAAAGTGAAACTGAATCAACGGTGACATGAGGAAGATGAAAAATATTCATGAGATCAACCTTTTTGTACCAGCAAAAGCAGCTTTTCTTTTAGCTTGCAGCCAAGCCAGAAGCTCAATGCTCTCCCATCAACTATTTGTAAATTCTGGGAATTGAAAATATATTATTTATGTGCTATGACATGGCCATTATTGAAGCCACCCTGGACACTGTAACGTATTCCTCTACCAAAGATGTTACAAGCATCAAAACCATCAAAACAAACTGTGCATATGGGAGAGACACACAGAGACACACTTTCCCTAAATACCTTCCTCTACACCAGCCACGGGATGAAATGAGGACACCTCAAAATGCCCAACACAGCTCTACACCACCTGTGATGCCTTTTATCAGGTTGGTTTTCAATAAGCCACCTTATTTTTTGTTGCGCCGTCACAGGACACCCAGCACCCTATTTAAGATGTCCTGCCTGAAAAGGCCTAACATTTCCTAACATTTCCTAGACACCAAGGAGCTGCTGAGATGCCTGTGGGCACGGTGAGATGTTTCTGGCCTCAGAGAGGCCCCGCTGCTCAGGGAGGGGCTGAGAAAACACTGGTTACAAAACCTGAACCCAAAAGTCCATCTCAGCAGGACATTTGTGTCCCACCACAGACGCCGTTGCATTGTGCTACGTGGTGAAAGAAGCTCTGCTAACAGCTGAAGGCTTCAAGAAGAGGTTTGGTTTATTTTATCTGTGGAAAGTACAAGCCAACCAGAGGATGAACATACCTTGATAAATCTGCAGAGACCCTTTAGAAACCGTATGTGTCCAAAAGGGGATGAGGCACCACCTCTAAGGAGCAAATCAGGTAGGCTGCACAGATTTTATTCTTTCCTAATTCCACTTTATTAGCTCAATATCCTGGTCTAACAGGTAGGCCTTGTCTCTTGGGCATTCTTCTGCCTCGTAAACTTGTTCTCACATAACAATCTGACAACTATAGGGATGAGACTTCGTGATGAACCTCCCCGTACCTCCCAAGTTTCCATCACCTCGTTCCTCCTCCTGCCTGTTTCTCTCCAGGTGTCACGACTGCCCAGAGGAGCGA